GATTAAGCAAGCATTCAGCATAAAGAACTCATTACCACTCCAGCAAATTTTTATCCTGCAAGGAGCAGATGTAGCTCTCATAGAACCCGTATTACACAGAAATGATCCATGATAGTTTACTGCCAGCAGCATTGCTCGATGCATCACCTAGGCCCCTCAGTTCTCAAGTATTAACTGTCTTCTCGAGTCTACAGCTGAACAACATACAGCTACAACCTGTAAAAACCGCAGAAGTGCACGATGAACACATACTATAGTGAGAAGAACACGTCTTGTTTTTCTTATTGTTTGCTTCCTACAGATACAGTTATTTATGGCACATCACTTTGTAAACTGCTTTGCATATTTATTCTAACATTTGGGATGCGGGTACAAATCTATTCAGTAGTTAAAGCATTTGGTTTGGGTTTTTTTAGTCTGTGCGATAAACACTGAACTGGGCTCCATTTTGCCCCTATTGCCCACAGATTTATCCATTATATATACACATTATCACAAAAATACTATTGGTCACAATAGCGCATCCTCTTCTCTAACAAAGCAATGATGGCTAGGTAAGGTACAGGCTCCAAAGTCTTGCATGCAAGGAATAAAATTCATAACAGTATACCAGCATGATGATAGCAGAAAAAAAATATAGTAAAGAGAAATTGTGAAGAAATAAAAAAGATTTAGAGAAGCTTCTTGGTAGATTATGTATTGTTTATTTTTCCTGTAGCTCAGCTGCATGGAAGTTTTTCCTTCATATTAGTAAAAGGTTTATAATACACAAGAGTTTTATTATATGAACAAGAACCACATCCTTCAAACACTGCCAAGTTTGAGTCCCAAGAGGCAGCCTGACATTAATCATCTGTTCAATACTACGTAAGTTTCAGACCATCTCTTACCAGTTTTTCCACTTTTATTTTTCCTGTATTTTATATTCCTATTCCTATGGTCTTCCACAAAATAGTACTTTATTTTTTTGATACAATCATTTGTATAGCTGACTTGCTATTAAATGCCTAATTAAAAGTTAAGGTGGTTTTTTTCTTCACCTGGTATCCCTCTATTCTTTCACTCACTGGAACAGTAAACCTAATAACAGGTTAATATTTCAGAAAGTCCTAAGATCAATACTTACTTCTTAACTATAAACAATTTCATTATGATGTTAACCTTGAAGACTACTAAAACCAAGACCATAGTTACCAGACCTGGGCAGGAATGACTAAGTTGAGGAAAGTGAAACTGACCACACGTGCTACAAAAAACTGAAACGTGCTACAAAAAACTGAAACGTGCTACAAAAAGAGGAAAGTACAAATATCTTTGCTATTAAATTTTAAAAACTGGGAAACTAGGAGAAACTAAAAGTGATCCTGTTTACAGCAAAACAGAAGAATCCAGCTAAACTGTGTAAAGCAAGAAAAACTCCCCGCATGTTCAATAAAACTACAGACAGATAGCATTTATTGTTAGAAAAAACATACATTTCTCAATAAAGCTTTTCCTTCCTAACTACTAGGGAGCCAAGCTGCTCTCCAAATCATATTGCACATGGGGACCTGAAGGACAGTGGTTTAGGAAACTGGTCTGCTGTCATGTGTTGACAGGAAAAGGCTGAGAATTGACATTTGAAACAGTTCTAGCAAAATAACAATAAATCCCCCCCGACAAGGTGTAAAAGGTAAGACTCATTTTCAAAATTGCGTTGTTCTCCTCTGCAACACAGCAAAAAGAAACCGGTTTTCTATATTTTTTGCAATGCTTTTAGTCAAGATTTGTACTGGAAGAGACTGCCTTACTGACTACCAAAAGAAAGTCTAAGAAGAAGAATAATTGTTTTCTCCAAATGCCACAGGAAAAAAGAAAAGAAACAAATTTTATAAATTTAAGCCGTGACTACGAGAGCACAAGAACAAAATGGTAAAACACCTATCAACACCTTTTCAAAAATTAATTTAACCTAATCATCAAGTTCTGAAGCAATTCTCCAGCAAGAGTAGCAGGCATGTACAATCCAAAGTAGTTTTAAGCTGCTTTAAAGAATTACAAGAGCATTTAAATAACAGCATTTTAAATAAAGCAACAGACAAGACTCACATAGGTTTTTTTCTAATCCAATAAAACTGTCTTAAGTTTCAGGTAAGTTTTGTCTCAGCTTTATACGGAAGTAACTGAAAGTATAAAGTCCTTCCCACCAGAGGGATGCATAACCACAGTTCAGAAGTCTAGGTAACCATTAATGGAACTGGTAAGAAGGAACACTGGTAGGGGCCTACAAATTAGTTTAAACACATAATAAAAATATATAAGCAAAGAATTTAGGACTGCATTGTCATATTTTCAACTCTGATAAAATTATGACACAAACAAAAGCTATAAAGTGTTCAGACAAAATTTAAGGAGGGACTGGAATCTCTTAACTGATCTTTTTGAGATGCAAGACTCAGCATGTTCTTCTAAATTCGGAGATGGTTGCGTAGTTCTCCATGGCAACCCAGGATGCACATACCCTGCAGCCTGCTGGCAAGAACCTAACAGGAACAGCACATTAGGCTGAAAAAGCATCTAAAGCAGAAAAAAGGCCACAATTTCAAGGTGGGGTACAATTTACAGCTTTGCAACCAGGTCAATAAAGGGACAAAGAAGAATTCCTGATTAAACATGCTCCTCCGCTCAAAAAGTGAACAAGCAAAAGAAGAAGGGGAGGTACTAGACTAGCAAAAGCTACAGTCTAGTGGATAAATAAGACTAGGTGTGGTGTAAGTTTAGATATGCCACAACATAACGCCTAACTCAAGTTCTTGCAGAGTTTGGAGCTTGTTCCCTGTATACTCCATTCTTCACAGCATGTTTGCACGTCCATTGGTTCCTGTTACATTAATAGCCTGTTTCATTCACCCCCTTAAAGTTTTATTTACTATTTATCATCCTTACCTATCTCGTTAAGCACAACACAACTGATTAAAGATATCGGATGTAATGCCTTTCTGTTACTAACTCACTCTAGAGAAACAAGGGTGATCTCTCAATGATACACAGTCAATAAAGGCTGGTTGTTTTTGTTTCCAAAGAAGTGAGGTCGACGACTGCCAGAAGCACCACTTAAAGTCAAAACGCCGGGCTTCAGACACAAACCGTAGCTTTCCAAAGCTGACTACACTATAAGTTTATTCGCCATCGCATCAGGCCGCTCAGAAGCGGCTCTGCGACAAAGGCCGCTGCAGCCTTGTGAAGC